TCATACTATTCAGCCCTTACCTCCATATGGAAGGAGTTGGACCATTATCAGGCCATAGAGTGGAAGCACGATGATGATGCTAAGGCCTACAGGAAGCTGGTCKCTCAGCAACGGGTGTTTGCTTTTTTGTTGGGACTGAACCCTGCATATGAACCGTTGAGGGTGCAGATCGTAGGAAGCAAAGAGTTGCCTACGGTTCACGAGGTATACTCCCTTGTCCAATCTGAAGAAAACAGGTGAAATGTGATGGTTACAGCTGAGGGGGAGCAACAAGTTGCCTTGGCTGCAATGAATAATAGTTCAACAGGAAAGAAAAGTGACCCTAAGAAGGCGGATGATAAAGATAAGCTATWTTGTACCCACTGTAGGCGTTMTCGACATACACGTGACACTTGTTGGGACATCCACGGGAAACCTAAGTGGGCAGCAAAGAATCAAGAACAGGGTAAAGGTCATTTGAAGAAAATGAGCACAGCACATGAGGTAACCCAAGACACTCAAGTTGCCGATAGTACCCGGGACCACCCTAATAAGTCAGACCCCAAGGAGGATATAATGAATTCATTCAGAGAGCACCTGGAATCTTATGGTAGGGCCTTGCGGCAAATGGACAGCTCAGTCACTGGTACTCCCTCCACTTCATTTGCATCCACTTCAGGTAATATGACTTCTGCATTCCATGTTACTCCCACAGATTCCCCTTGGATCATTGACTCAGGGGCCTCCAACCACATGATCGGTAAGCCTAACTTATTCTAGTCTTATAGCCTTTTGTCAGGAAGGGATAGAGTGAGATTTGCAGATGGTTCTTTTTCTTCCATTACCGGCCAAGGATCCATATCCCTTTCCCATGGCCTTAACCTGAATTGTGTATTGCATATCCCTCAGCTTCCCATAAACTTGCTTTCAATTAGTAGCATTACAACATCCTTAATATAGAGGTTGGATCCCAACTATTAGGCATAGCTGAGGTGTACTTCTGGTGTCATCAAATATTGTCTCAGAACTTAGTCAAATCCAATAACCTATGGTCAATCAACAAGAATCCAGTGGATGATACAAAATGGTCTTATAAAAATAATTGAAAAGAGACTATAAGGAACCTTTCCCTGTAAGTCATGAGACAATAGCCTAATCATTCCCTTACAGATGGAACATCCACATTTTAAACTCCTGAAAGCTTCTGTTCCCAACCGGGAACCTTCCACCAGAAGTGAGGCATAGATATGCTATGACAGAAACTAAGGGCCACGAAGCGCCAGACTAGGGCCTACAGCCTTCCACCTTAATGATGGCTTCATAATTTTTTGAAGTACACTTCTACTATCCATAGTTTACCCATGCTCCCACATCTCTTTCTAGAAGTGTCTTACCTCAACAAGACACTTCACCTTCCTCATGCTAGAAGATGCATTGGCTCTCCTCAATGTAAATACACAACATCAGAGGGATATTTTAAAAATGCCAATGTATGAGGAGTAAATCTAGGAGTCACAACCATGCCTTTTCAAAGAAATAAGCATATATGAAGGACAATGGTGGTACATTTTGGTCCCTTGGTGTTTTATTGGGTTACATAGGGTCATAGTGCAAATTGAGAAGTAATTACAGATGAACCTAATTTCAGTATCCCAAAGTTCCATATTTTGTCAAAGCTGGTGGAATATTCATTACATTCCAGATTCTAATTGAGGCATGGATTATGTGCACACCTAATAAAAGGTGAACAGCTCGTGAAATTTGAGCAACTCACAACTGAGATATTCTCAAGTGGCTCAAATGAATCAACTATTGCATTTCCTTTTAGTAGGTAAAACAATTAAATAATGAAATAGTTGAGGGTATGTTAATCAACTGATATAGATGAATAAAAAAGGAAAGAATTCGTGGGGAAACAAACCAATTATCAATTCCTATGCCAAGTTCAGAATTTTTTGGGTGAAAGCATATTGTCATTGCTCCAGTTCTTTATATCTTTTCTAGTCATAGGCCTCCTAAAATAGGGTTTTTAAAGCTGTTCAGGAATTTTCTGTTATTTCGAAATTACAATAAATGGCAACTCTAGACTTACAATTTGTAGTAACTCTTGTAATTACTATTTTTAGTAAGCTCATAGATTACTATTTTTAGTAATTTCTGATGTCTATTAAATTAAGTTATAAAATGTAGAGTTGTTTAGGAGTTAGAGTCCTTATTTTCATTGTGGTTATATGGATTTGTCATAGTTATAAAACTATTACAAGTTGTTTTGGGTCAGCTTCCTGGTCCAGATTGGAGTATGTAAAGGGATAGCCAAGTCAATAAGTTGAGTATATAAATAGAATCATTGCAATTGGAGTTTATCGAGAGTTGATTTGATGAAATAAAGTCTGGGTAAGTTAGAGTCCTTATTTTCATTGTGGTTATATGGATTTGTCATAGTTATAAAACTATTACAAGTTGTTTTGGGTCAGCTTCCTGGTCCAGATTGGAGTATGTAAAGGGATAGCCAAGTCAATAAGTTGAGTATATAAATAGAACCATTGCAATTGGAGTTTATCGAGAGTTGATTTGATGAAATAAAGTTTGGGTTAGTGAATTCTGGTTGTTGCTAGAAATTTTCTCCCTCCCTCCACCCCCACTCTCTTTTCTCTTCCTCTAAGTGATCTGTCTCTTCGTTGTTTACCCCTAACAGAAAGCGTTCTCTCTCATCTATTGTCCTGCTCATTCTTTGGTGGACAGCAAGTTGTCTACTTGTCTTTCCATCTCCATCCATATTCTTCCTATTTAATCACCCACAACCCCTTATTCACCCCACAAATCCCACCACTAGATCATAAGTTAGTATGACCCCTAGTAGCCTACCCTGTCCTACATCATCAACTCAACTTCAGTTTCGACCACTAAGGATCTTACAACCACCTGAAAAACTTATTCACTAGAAGGCACAATAATACATCATTCAGTTCAGCCACTTCAGAATATTCCTAAGCACATTAGTCTACATTTGATCTTCATCACTTGCATTATCTACATACTTTGAATAGCTTCAATTTGTTCTACAGATCTGACAAACTCTCCTATATCCTAAACTTGTATGAAACATTATTTACCAGTAAGAGGTGTCCTTAAGTAATGTTTTGGAAAATTGGGATTGTTCTCCAGGGCTACTATCTCAGAATATGACTCATACCCAGGTCCAAGTTCCATAAAAAAAAAAAAATTAAACAAAAAAAAAATCTCTTTCTTAGGCAACAACAAATGTTATGCTAATCTCGTCACCACATCAAGGGAGTCAAGTTTAAACTTGTAGCACACAATGTACTCCTAAAGGCTCAAAGCAATATTTCATGCTCCCATAGTCTATTGCAAGTGGCATATTACATAAGTTATTTATTTTATAAATTTACTAGTTTGCAAGATCTAGACACAAGTAGTTTGAACATGCAAAAGTCTAAGCGAGTACCAGATGTTCGAGGAACTGGAGCTATATATGCCCCATATGCTCTATCACCAGCTACTGGGATGTCAGACTTGTTGAAATTCACTGCAAATTGAGGTTTTGCTTTCAATCCACCACTTTTAATCAGGCGCACAAATCTCAAGAGAGTTTCTTCAGGAAGGGTAAGTGACCCTGCATTTAGCTCAATTGTGTCAAACCCCAGATTTTTGCATTCCTGCAGAAAACATGTGTTAGAAAAAGTGAAGTTGTTTTCCCCGACCAATAAAATAATAGGGATAAGATTCCCACTCTTTCTCTACCTCCACATATTGTTTGAAAGCAGATGGTCCTCCACGAATCAAATGTTCAGCCCAGTCTCCTGTACTTACATATACATTATGTCTGTGAGCCATGTCAGTTACTTCTTTGATAAAAGCTTTTGGCATCAAACTGTGTGAGCCTCCAGCAAACTTCAATCCATCAACAAAATCTCCCATGGATTCAAAAATATCCTATAACGAATATAGAAGATGTTAGTATTGATCAAAAAACAATATAGAAGATGTTAGTATTACTAGGGTGATGAAATAAGATGTGGCTGGACTTTGCTTTCTCGGGTTTCACGTAGGTTTTATAAGTCTTTAGGTGGCAAAGATGGGATTTGACCCAAGTTACAGGGTACGAACACCTCCTCCCACATACACAACACAAAAGACTTCACCAAACAGAGACCGTTGAACAATGTTCAGTAGATATTTAATAAAATTCAATCAATCTATTCGAGAAATATTAAGAGGTCAAAACACAACGATTTTCTTTTACAAGGACTTGAATTTCATAGATCAGTTTAAAATTAAGCCATCAAAGGCAACTTAAAAGTTTAAAAAAAAAAGTTTGAAGCACAACTTAAAAGTAAAATACGGCATGTGAATTCTTCGTTTTGATTTCGCTCAATAAGCACAAAATATAGAAATACTAATGAAAAAGTGAAACGGGATAAGTAAGTGCATTCACCATTTTCATGCTCCCAATAAGATGAAATACATACACATCGAAAAGAACTCGTTGTAAAATTTAAAAAGAAAGATGAAGTGCGTAATTAGTAAGAAGAAAGCCTCGTCGGTTCAACAAAAATATAGTTCCACCTAAGAGAAACTGCTTTTGATGAAAACAAAGCTTCAGTTGACAAATTACGATAACCCAGTTGCATGACCGTTAAAATACGATCATATCCGAAGCTCAAATAAATTTACGTCAATGCCTTATTTATCAGCGACAAACTAATTCATTAACATTTTTTCACCAAGAAAAAAAAATAATTCATTAGTCAATAAAGAAATTTCATTCAAATACTATTTTAGAAAATTAAACATTCATATATTGAGATTCCTTAGAAACCGAAAACAGTGTATAAGAAGGTCACCGCATCGCCCATTATCTTATCTTAATAAAATAATACCCAAATCTGAAATTAGCTTTCCTCGATATTCTCCTTAAGAAAAAATGGCACCTAAACTTGCCAAAATACTTACAATTAATCTGATAAAGATCAAATTAAAGAAAGCAACAACATATGCATATGCTGATATGCAAAGAGGAGAAACAAATTTTGCAGATGAGAGGAATGGCCATTAAAAGGAGAAGGAGACCTGAAGAACATTTTGGCTCAAAAGAGTGTAATGAGGGCCCCTCATCTCCGTGACTCCATACCTCCGAGGCTTCTCTGGTCGATCTTCATCTTCATAGAAGCTCTTCCATCGATACGCAGACATATTTTCAAGAAATTCGAGCGGGAGTTCGACAGAAACACGACACGATCACGATCAGCTCATGAGTCAGATATTTTTCGCAGTTTCTTCCTCTATTTTCTTTGTTTTGGTTGTTTCAATTCTCAGAGGCTCCCGAAGCTTTGAGCTTGTTCTGGAAAAGTCTGTGTGACTGTGTCACAGCTCGTGGCCAACGACAATTGGCTCCTAGCGCACAAGAATGTCTCGACGCGATAAAATTACGAAATTATCCTTGGAAGATGTTTTCATGTTTCAGCCAACGGTGAGCTAGATAATGAAATGGATAAGTTGTCCCGCGGACGACCGGCTTCTGAGTTCTGAAGTGGTCCAAGTGGATAATGACATCGGTCTCCTTAAGGTTGTGTTTGGTTGCAATGTTATGAGTGCACATGATTTGAGTGTAAATCCTTACCTCTTTTTGTTTCAAATCTCAGCTTATTTTGTTTGGTTCTATTACAAATGAAGTAAATAAATAACGACACGAAGCAGAATAAAGTAAAATCCAAAATAAAATTAACTAAAAATGTGCATTTCTTTCAATTGCAGTCCCATACATTTATATTAATACAAATAAAATTGCACCGCAATCAAACACAGCCCAAAGTTCAGTTTGAGATATAGTGTGCAAAACCTTGTATTTTCCATTGTTCTGTATATATTTGCACTTTATATTTATACTTTTTGTTAATTTATTTGGGTTTGACCAAAAAATAATACAGGAGGAGGAGGGGCTCTCTTTCAAAAGGGGTGAAGACTCAAGCCCCATTTGGTGCGTCATTCCGTGTGGTCTATCAGTTATTTACAAGTTTGATAGACCGTAATTCGGTCTTTTTCCATTTGGTTTGCGATAGATCTAGCCACTAAAAGTCAATATGTTGAAAAGATGCAAAAAGCCCAAAATAGACAATTTTTGAAAAACTTCAAATGGAACTTTTGCATTTTTTTTTCTATTTGTTTTCACTCCAAAAGACGTGCTTTAACCAAATGAGTTTCAAACTGCTCAGATCTTAATGCAAAAACTCAATATGTTTTTTAAGTGTCAAAATTAACAGAAGATCTTCTCAAAAAAACTTGCAAAATGACCCCTCAGTTTAGCTGGTTGAATTGCATTGGAGTGCTCCTAACAAACCATAAAAACACTGAAGCTGACAGCCCACTGACCATCGATTGGGATTTCCGGATTTTTCTATCAAACAAGGCTTTTAGGCCGTCCGTGTAGATCCCACCTAAGAAAATCAAAAGCTGTCGCATTTCAGCCCTCCCAAAACAGGCATTAGGAGTTGATTTGTAACAGCTGAAGCGGCTGAACTGAATATTTTATTCCTTTGTCTTGTAGTGCTAGTTTAGGATTTAGTGTAGTTTTCATTTTTCAAAAAAGGCTCCACACAAACTAGTTCACATCTCCACCCCACAGCACATCCCGCCGTATATTAGGAACATATCCCGATAATAGTACCAGAATCAATGATATCATCATTGGGAGATGTTTCCAATACACGGCCAAAATGTGTTGTGGTGTTAAATTACCAAAATACCCACCTAAACCTTTCTTCTTTTCTTTTCCTCGCCCTTTTCTCTTAAACCCTAATTGACCCAAAAATACTTTCATTTTCTCCAAAAAACTGTCTAAAATAAAAGAATCATTTCAATGACATAGAAATACAATTGTTTTTCTTTTTAAATTCTTATATCATTTACCTACCATGAACGTCTCTCTCTTCATCTTAAAATATAAAAATTATCCCTTCTTTTTTTTCAATAATTATGAAAAACCAAATGAAACCTTAAATTGATAACCATTGAAAAAAAAAAAACTCTACGAGAGATAGCTTGGTGGCATTACAGTAACATGATCCGCATGTTGGTACGTTTGTTTGATCAAGTTTACTATTATTACGAATTAGACCTGTTCATGGGCCCATTCTTCATTGGGCTTGAAGATATTTTGAGGCCCAGGACTCGAGCTCAGGTTTGATTCGTTTGAAGTTTGAACATATAATAAATTTTACTTGGATTTGAAACCAACGTTTATTTCCTAGCTTCACGCTTTATTTAAATGATGGGTTGGGGCTCGGGGCATGGACATTTTCTGTTGACAAGTGGTAATATGAATATGTGTCGACAAGCCTAAAACCTGTTAATGGTTCATACTGTGGACATGATCGGCTGATTGGTGGCAGTATGTGTCGACAATCTCCATAAATTTTGACAGAACAAAGCCTGGAACCTGACTCAACCTGAACCTGAGTCCATTCATGCTCAATCACTTCTAGGCTCCAATAATTTGAGAATGGGGAAGCAACTCCCCCGTGGAAGCTCCCAATTATAATCCAAGGGCTGGTGGGTGCATATGTTTGTAAAAATTAATTTCTATGAAGATTGAAGCCTAGATAGAGTTTTGCGTAGTGGCATGCATTGGCTTTCAGTTGAGTAACTTTGCGAGTTGAATGCCTGTACAGCTTCCCTGCCTACTGTCTTTCCTCTTTCTGTAATTAGAAAGTCCGTCATTAACATTTACAGTTGCAGCAGTCCTTGTGAAGATTAGGTCGTTGTTTTATTTTTTCAGAATTCTTTAAATAAGGAATTATTAAAATATATGTTATATTTAATTCCATTATTAAAATAACATTGAAACATTAATCACTAGGCTGCGTTTGGTTTGAAGAAAAAAATAAATAAGGAAAGAAAAGGCAAAGTATGGAAACTTTGTACAGGTTTCTTTACTTTTTCCTTCAAACCAAACACAGCCTAAAGCATCAAGATTAAAATTTGTAATCAGAGATATAGTGGTTGGAAAGATATGGGATCTCTTGAAAGTAAAAAGCATGTGAACATGGGAGAGCATAGCATCCAGCTGCACGTTTAAATATCTCTTTATGAATTTAACATACAAGTATGGAAGATGTTCCTCGTGCTCTCAACATGTTTGTATGTCTTTTTCTTATTGCTTTCAGCTGATCCATAAAAGGGAAATAGGCATGGAGATACCACATTTGATTAACATGCCAATCTGTCTTAATTATGGTCCAACAGTACTTTTTTTTAAAAGATAGAGATACCTTTAAACACTCAAGTGGTGTTTCACAATTGCTAGAAAAAGCAAAATGCTCGAACAGGTTCTGAATTTAAGGCCCATTTGTTAATAGGAATAAAGGTCTGGAATAGGAATAAAAAAGGCCCATTCCAATTCCCAATTGTTTGGTTGGGTGAAATCAGAATTTCATTCACGTTCCTGGTGGAATGGCATTCACCCATTTGAGGTAATGGTCATTCCCTCATTCCAGCTGATTCCAATTCCCCTTTCCATTATTGTCTGAACCAAAACGACTATGGGAATAGACCATTCGGTTCTGATTCCAAAGGATTTTAATTCTGATTGCAATTCTGATTCTGGCTGTGAACCAAACGGGCACTTAAATACACTCCATTCAACATTTCAGTGCACAACTTGCCACTCTACTTATTTGCAATGACAAAACATAGTCAATGAGGTGAACATTGCACACCTAAGGCCATTTTTATTTGCACTTTGCAGTACACTTTCATTTGCACTAACACAAATGCATGAGAGTGCAAATGAAAATAATGCAAATTCTGGTTTAACTTTTGCTTTTTCTTTTCTTTTTGTAGGCAAATTGGCCACAACCAGCCAAAGGCTTCACTAGCAAGCTAGCTGACACCTTGGATTCACTTTTGTTTTGGGTTTTGCTTCACCTCTGATTTTATTTTACTTCATCTACAATACAAACAAATAACATAAGGCAAAAGCTAAAACAAAAATAAGTTGGAACTTCTAGTCACATAGTTTTAAGCCCGTGCACATGAAATTGCAGTGCAAACAAACCATGCCTAAAACTTTTTTTTTGCTGGAAAATATAATTTAATCTATTAGATAACTGTAAATACAAGGAGGAGGATGTTCTTCCCAAACTCCATAAGTTTTAGTCCCCAAACACCAAGTAGCAACTTTATGAGCTGGTACATTGATGTTTCTTTTAACATGGGAAAAAAATAATAGGCAATGCAAGTCAGCAATAGTCTTTGCATCGCTCAACAAATGCCTCCATCTCCATGGTACCATGTTGACTTGGAACCTTGAATGTGTGTAATCACCGATAAGCAATCACCTTTGATTTGTATCTGTCTCCCACAATATATAATCGGTTGTTGTCTCCACTGCCAAAAGTAAAGCTCGCATTTCTGTTGTTTTTGCATCCATCGCTTTGATAGAACAAGCTCATGCAATGAGAAATTCCCCTGGTTATCAATGGCCACACAGACCGCTGCTCCAAGTCCCAAATGAAAAGCACCATCGAACCAGATATAAACATCTACTTCATGATTCTTCGTTCACGGATGACAGTGCGCATCAACTGGGTTTGTTACAGTAGGTGCACCCCAAAATTGTAAGTCTTGCAAAGATTTCCGAATTCGTTCCACAACCTCCATAGGTTGAACTTGTTTTCCTTTGAATTGGCACTCGTTCCTTGTCAAAGCACAAGTGTACGTACCTGCAGCAAACGACAATCAAGTTTTCCGGCCAAGAGCACACTGAATCATCGCAAGTAGTATGAGAATGCCAGCCTATCACTCCAAACCACACAGCTTTAGAAAAAGCACAAGATAAGAACAAATGCTCCACTGTTTCTATATCTCCATTACAAAAGATGCAACGCCGATCCACATAATCACTCCACCACCTATTCTTGGTCAACACTGCTTGCAATAATTTCCAAAGAAACAGATGCACGCAAGGATAGATTTTAGCTTTCCAAAATTTCACCCAAGAGACCCATTCCCACAACTCTAGAAAACCATGCATCACTAACATCGTGCAGCAAGATTTAACAGTGAATTGCCCACCTCGTTCATTCACCCAAAGCCACTCATCCTCCTGCGTAATCAGTTTAGAAACGCTAACCTTTTTGATTGCCACCTGAATATCATTAGGAAAAGAGAGCTTCTAACAGGTTTTCATTCCACTCTCGAGAGTGTGTAAACAATTCACTTACAAGATCCACACCCAAATTCTCATTTCTTAGAGAATTGGGTCTGATTTTACAAACCCCTTTCTAGAACCAGGAAGAAGACCCCCTAACTGGTGCATTGAAGAAGGTGTTGTGGTTACAGTATTTGGTTTTAAGCAATTGGACCCACGCCGCATCCTCCTCTGTAAGAATTCTCCACCCCACCTTACACAACAAAGCATCATTAACATATTTTAACCTGCGATGCCCTAGCCCTCCAGCATTCCTAGGGGAGCAAGCTTTCTTCCACACCAAATTCCTACCAAACGTATTAATACTCTCAACCAACATTTTAAAAACTGACCCAGAATCAGAACCATTTTAGCCACCATTTTTTGGGCCAGTGGTTCAACTGTCCAGTTTGAACAAACGGCCCCTTCCAACATAAAAAATAAAAATATTAAAAAAATAATTGAAATAAAAAATGGCCAAAACTATCAGGTCAACGGTTCAACCACCTAGGTCAACAGGTTATTAATCAAATCGATGGTTTTTGGCCAAGGACCAGGTTATGGTAAAATGGAACCAGTTGTCTGGATGGTTCTTGGTCCGAACGATCCCACCACCAAGGTCAAAAGATGGTTCAAAAACCCTGCTCTCAACATAAGTTTCTTAATTTTTAGTTTACAGTGGTTTTCAGCATTCCACTTTCAACCTCTATTTTACCACCACCTAGGTATTATTGTTAATTTTTTATTAATTAGGGTATCTTTTTTTTTATCTGAAACAGTAAATACTCTTCTCACAAAAGAGAATCGTTGTTATTTTGTGATTTTATTTATTCATACTGTCCCCAATTTTACTATCATAGTAATGGCATTATTGTCATTAACAACTTAATTGCATCTATTTAACACCACTCTCCTTTAGTCTGTCTGCTTTAATTATCTCTTTATCTTGATGATGATGATGAAATGCACCCTTTCCCTGGAGTAGTACACATTATGCTGCATTGTTCAGTCCTAATCTGCATATATATATATATATATATGCGCACATGACAAGAGAAACAAATAGAAGTGTCAAAGAAATCTGTGATAATAGAGGACGTCAATGTAGGAGGATGGAATATTTAGCCTTTCGATGGTTTCAAATATTCGTTTTACATGCATGTGAATCCACTTTGGCCGTCGATGCTGATGCCACCCCTCATTGAGCTGGTAATACCCTACTTTCCTTGTCTCCCATGAAAGGAATCAAAGATCAAAGAGAGGAGAAGAAAGTAGGAGAAAAAAATGTAAATAAACAGAGCTATGAAGACAAAAGAAGCTTTTTCTCACTTGTTACAGCTAACCTCTTCCACATGCACTATTTATCAATAGTCTATATATCCTCTTCGGCTTTATTCTCCTTTCCCATGTCATTCCAGTCCAACAAGAGAGCTCTCGCTCCTCGCTGAGTAATTGTCATAACAGATTCGACATCGTTTCTTTTCTCATTGGGAGCTCCAGATTTGGTAAAATGGCGAGACCAGAAGCTGCTCTCATCTGTCTCTTGATCATGGCTATGGATATCACAGCCGGAATACTTGGAATCCAAGCAGAAATTGATCAGAACAAGGTAAGATGTTCTCTTCACGAAAAGGGAAAAGGATAGAAGAAAGGTAAAGCTAGATATTTTCATTCAGATAACATGAAGTAATTTTGGTTTTCATCACAATTTTCCTTACGAAATTTGCAGGAGAAACATATAAGGCTGTGGATTTTTGAGTGCAGAAACCCAAGTTATGAAGCTTTCAAGCTGGGATTAGTAGCAGCAGCCCTTCTGGCACTAGCCCATGTTCTTGCAAACTTGATTGGCGGGTGCGTGTGTATTTGTTCCCAGATGGAGTTGGAAACAGCTTCGGCTAACAAGCAATTAGCAGTGGGTTGCCTCATCCTCTCCTGGTATGCACTGTATTATTTCACATCAGCTTATGGTATCTTAATTTCCTTCTCAGAGTTTCATCGGTTAGTGACAGGCAAATCGCTTGAACACCAACCACTAAAAAAGAAAACAAATTCTTGGGTCCATATTGACATGATCCATATATCGAGTATAATCTTTGGATCTTAAAGAGGGACACCCAAGGAAAATATTGAAAAAGAAGCAACCAGAGATATGATATCTTTGCAACTAGATTCCTCCTCCCTCCTCCCTCTTTCATCGAGGATGGGGGGTTCTTTCATTAGCCAGCTGGAATGGACGACTCATCAATTTAACAGCTTCTGGGCTAGGAATAGGGGTCGATTCAAGCCGAGCCGAGCCAAATAGTATCAGGCTCGAGCTCGGTTCGAGCCAGAACCTTGAGCTCAGCTCAGCTCGAGTCAAAAGTTTATAAGCTCGAGCTCGACTCGGCTTGGCTCGTTTTATATTTTATAAAAATATTTATAAAATAAAAATTATATATAATTATTTTTTTATTTTATATTTAAAAAATTAAGAATTATAATATATATATATTCGAATCGATTCGCGAGCCTCACGAGCCAAGTTCTAGTAAACTCGAGTTCGGCTCGTTTAATAATCAAACCACTGAATTGGACTCGAGTTTGAATTCGATTGGAATCGAGCCGAACCAAGCTTTTCACGAGCCGAGCTCAAACAGCTCGTGAAAAACTCGACTGGTTGCCACCCCTAACTAGGAATCATGGAGCGTGATGGAAATTAAGATAAGATGCATGGGGATGGGGTATTATATTATATTATTTTTTCTCTCTCTCTATAATGACCAAGGTCTTATAAAGTATTGCCCTACTTACCAGGATCATAGTAGGCGTTGGATTCTTGATGCTGATCATAGGGACGATGGCAAACTTGAAATCAAGAAGGTCTTGCGGGATCTCGCACCATCACTTCCTGTCTATCGGAGGGGTTTTGTGCTTCGTCCACGGACTATTTTGCACTGCATATTATGTTTCGGCCGCTGCAGCCATCAAGGAGGAAGAAGCGTCCCAAAGGAGACAGAATGTATAAGTGTTTCTCTTCTAAATTATGTCGTCCTCTCCTCACCTTCAATGATGCAATTCACTGGTCTTTTCTTATCTGAACAAAAATAACTGGTCTAACTTGACATGTCTGTAACCCCAGAGAAACAATTTGTTAACATAATTTTGCTTTTCGCTTCTTTACCTACCACAAATTAAAGAAATGTACCATTAATTTGGTAGAATGTTGAGGAAAATAAAAACATTGAGCAAGCAAAATCGTGCTAGATCCGCACCACTGAATTCAGTAACCTTTTAATTTTTTGTAGCAAAGATGGGCTTTGGTGTATCCACACCACACGATAGTTCATGGTTTTAAAAACCTATTCGGAAATGAAACTATATTGGACACCGGTTTCTGAGTCAAACGGTTCAGTCATCCGGTCCAAATCTCAATAGGACGGTTTTGAATTCAAAATTGGACCCAGAACCATAACCATTCCTGGGACAACCAGTCCGATCGTCTGGTCTGGTCTATTTTTCAAAACTATAGTACAGTCTAACTATTGAGTTTACAGCGTCTATTCAATGTTCATAGCATATTCAAATTAGGCTCTTTTCATCAAGCTACATTTGATAAGAGTCTAACGCATTGATATGAATCCAAATTTGATAAAACCCATCTCAAGCCTGGAATCCAACGCCCAACGTGACAGTAGTTTGGCAATTCAATATCGTGCGTAGAATCATATGCTTAGGAGTGTATTCTTATACCCTTATGAACTAAGGTGGCATCTAATAAATCTGAAATCTGAAAAATTAAAAAAATATTAAAAGTGTGAAATTTGAAAATATCTATGATGCTTTTCTATTTTTTAGAGGTTCTGAATAGATAAGTTTGCTTGTGTTGGATCAACCTTTTAGCACTTGAAGTTCCCTGATTTTACTATATTTTACCCCTAGAACAGACTATTTAATAATTTTGAGTTCAATTTGCACGATTTCATATCAAATAATTTATGAAATTCAAAATAATATTGAAATAATACGAATAAAAATAACAAATTAATAATTAATAAATAACACAATTAAAAGTATTAAAAATAATTGATGACTAATAAAAAACATTAAAGTAATTAATACTTAATAAAAATTAAAACAATTAAAAATAACAAAAAATGCCTTAACTTGATTTTGCAAGAAGATACAACACAAATTACAGAAACCCAGATGTTCTTATACTGAGATTATGATTGATTAAAAGAAAAAATATTTTCTTTTCCTTAATAAGATTAACGATGTAATGGACTGAATTGGTCCATAACCACACTACTGGATGGAGACATGGGAAAAGAAGATGAGGAGTCAAGACAATTCAATAAACAAAGCATGGATGTTTTCTCAACAGTTAAGAAATTCAATAAACAAATCAAATAATCTACAGTTTGCATATGATTATTAACAAACTTAAGAGATTCAATAGTTAAACATAAACAAACTAAACAAATCAAACAATTGTAAATAGGAAAGAAGAAGAAGAAGAAGAAGAAGAAGAAGAAGAAAAAGAAGAAGGAAGATACCTTCACTAGGCATCTAGCGCGACAATAACCCCTGAAAAAATGAAGATTTACGGTGAGAAATCCGACGTTTGACAAAGAAGAAGAAGTAAATATGAGAGAAAAGAAGGCCTTACGGCCATACCTAGAGCAATCTTCACCAGTGGAGATTTCTTTCGTGTCTGAAACAAAAATGGGCTAGGTTTTTTGGTTTGGGGGTAATCAAGGGCATAAATGCGTCATTTTGAAAATGTTGGGGGTAGTTTTGACTTTTTACTAGTTCTAAAATGTGTTTGACCATGTTAAGAGTCAGGCCGTGTGCTTTGAGTTTCAAATCTGAAAACAAAATTCAGATCATTTTTTAGGTGCATCATCAAATGGGTCTAGTGTCTGAAAAGCAAGTTTCTCAAACACAAGACATCTAAAAAGTATTATCAAACGCACACTAAGAGACCATAAAAAAAGGAGTCAAATCGATCTTAAGTCCTAGGTGCTTCATTTACGCATTAATCCACTCCAATTTTTCAGACAAGCTATCTTATTTAACAAGAGGCCTAGAGCAACAATAGGGAAACCGCATTAGCAGCCAATGAGGCATTTTATATTCATGAGTAAGGAAGCATCTTACTCGTCAATGATTAAGATTTCATCGATTTGACCTCAACAGTTCTTTGATCAAATTCAATGGTTTTTCCAAGTTTGGAAAATAGAGAAAAGAATAAAATAATGTGGATCGGTGAGGAAAGCTCCACCAGACCCTTGATATTTATAATCACTTGTTATAGAGTTTGAGTGCAACTACATGACCAAATAGATAGAGTTTGTATACAAGTACTCTAGTCATAGAGTTACAGGTAAACAAAATAGGAGAGGGGAAAGCTCATCGGTGTATATATGGATCAGTGTAAAATTTTATTCCCGATTCATCTTTGTCGGCGTTTGGATGAAGTGTAGTTTTACATCAAAGATCGATGTAAACTCCACTCATGATAGAGTTTTACATTGATAATTTTTGTAAATACAATATCAATAAAATCGATATAAATATTTACATCGATAAATATTTACATCGATAATTATAATGATCCGCTCATTTAAACCGATCAATGTTGAACTCCATCAATATATTTTTGCATAGGGGTGGCCATGAGCCAAGCTCTTCACGAGCTACTCGAGTTCGGCTCGGCTCGGTTTCAGTTGAGCTTAAGCCTAATAAAGCTCAGCTCGTGAGGCTCGCGAGTCGAGCTCAAATAGCTATATATATAATAAAATTATAAAAAAAAATAATATATATAATATTTTATGTCTATATATAATAATAACTAATTACTATAATTCTTAATTTTTTAATATCAAATAAAAAATATTTTTTATATATAATTTTTTTTACTTTTATAAAACATTTTTTCTTAAGTCAAGCTCGAGCTTATGAGTTTTTTATTGAGCCAAGCTCGAGCTTTGTACTACCTTGGCGAGTTGAGCTCGAGCCTTGTACTATTTGGCTCGGCTCGGCTCAAATCCACCCCTACTTTTACATCCATAAATATTTACACCGAAAATAAATGCAACCTAACAGATTTAGGGTGAAAAATACCTAATGTTTGTCTGAGTTTAGGTCAAACAATCCAACTAGATGAATTATGAGAAGTCAACTACTCCATTTAGCAGCGTTGGTCTAAAACCGTGAAATATTGGCCTTTGATGCATTTGTTATGGCCCCACTTTCCATAGTTTTATCAAATTCAAGGTGAGATCACATCAATACATCCAAATCCATGATTTACGATTTTAGCCCCGTACTGGGAGTAGCTTATTTTTTAGAGTAACGAGAGAGTGACTATTGGTTGCAACCACTCAACACCGTTAATGTGGCTCAAAAATCAAATATTTCCGATGAACTAGAGCAAAACTGTGAGTTTGTGTTCTATGCAACCATGAGTGCAATGGACGCATGAACCTGTCAACTAGATACAAACACGTCAATGGGGCTGGGAGATCCAAATGTTAATGGGACTTTGGCCATTACCTAAACGTGTCCAGTCGAACCAGATGCAAAAATTCACCTTGTTTCAAGTCAATTCTTCTCTCGAATTCATTCGACCTTCTATGGCGTCCTCCGTTCCTCTCCGACTCCACCCTCCTCAGCCACCTCTGATCTTATCTCACGGGCTTCGAAACCCTCCAAAGCTCAAATTCACCCTGTTTCAAGTCTGCAAGTTGTCCTCAGTCAGCCTCAAGAGGTTTCCAGCTTTCACTTCTTTGTCATCTTCAAATCCGTCAGATTAGGACAGAGATGAAATAAGATGGCTCAAAGAAGAGCAACAGTGGCTCCACGAAGAGCAATGATGGATTCGTGAAGAATCGTGCTGGAGTTCGAAGCGAGAAGCGCTCCTTCGAGAAATCTCTGAGTTGAAACTACGAATTCAATCCCTAGGACGCCAGAATTCTCTACAAGGAGCTTCAATGTCGAAGAAAGTTGCCAACATCACATCGCTCCTGCAAGCACTGAAGGATGCTGAGCTGAATTCGCCAAAGCAAAATTGAATTGCCAAGAGTGGTTCAGGGTCAATGCCAATGCTATTGGGACTGGTAATAAGAAGGTGAAGGAGACAGTTGTTGAGGAAGTTAGGATGTTTGAGAGAAGCAAAGAGAACAAAGAGGAGGAAAATCATGAAAAAGGAGGTTCGATCATTGAGAATCGGATCAAAAGGGAAAGATGTTCAAGCAATGCAAGTCTGCGTGCGAAATGCATTTCTTTTGTGAAATTTAAGAAAGAAAATGTGAGTTTTAGTTTGTTTAGTTTTCATTTAAAAATTTACTTCAAATTTTTAGTTTGTTCAGGTCTGCGAGGTACACAACTTTTTTTCTAGTGTTCAACACACTAGAACACCGAATTTGTTCCTTGTTTCACACAAAAGAATGAGAATGTTCATGAATGAAGATGATCTGGTGAGGGTGGCAAAAGGACTAGGGTACCATGTGATTAGAGCTTTGCTTGATCAGATGGAGATTTTACAAGAGCTTTTTGGGGTGTTGAATGGATGTAGTGTTTTGATGGGGGCTCATGGGGTAGGATTGACAAATATGGTGTTCTTGCCGGAAGGAGTTGTGGTGGTGGGATGGGGTCTGGAATGGGCTTCTAAAGGTGGCTGGCGGGATGCTCGGGTTAGGGCTCAAAGGAGATGCGGGGATGAGGACAAGAGATGGGGAGGGGATAATTCAAAGGATTTTAAACTTTCAAAAGAACCCTACTTTTTGAGTTGTGCTTTTTGTCGGTGGTTGAACTAGGTTTATTGAGTTAACGACTGAACACCCATTAAAAGTTGGTGTTTTCGAAATGTCAACATGGTCACCTGTGATTGGGGGGCTCACGCATCCAGTGTACTCACAAGTGCACAAAATGCGGACTCCAAAACTATGAATCAAGGTTTTAAAAATTGGATTGGACATGAAACCTTTCTGAGGACTGGTTCTTGAGAAAAATGGTCCAATTGTCTGGTCAAAATGGATGACCCATTCTGACTTAAAAAAATAAATAAAATAAAAAACGGCCAAAAACCGTTGTCTGGGTCGATAAGTCAACAGTTCGACTACCCGAGTTAGCAGATCACTAACTAAATCAATGGTTTTTAGCCAAAAAGCAATTTTAGGGTGAAACAAAATCGATTACCTGACCAGTTTCCTAGTCAACTAGTCCGACTATCTGATCC